GTCCCCGGAGTCACTCTCTCCTCTGCTGCAGCGGTCCAAGTTCCCATAAATCATAATGTTCTATACACAGTGTATAGATGTGAGGATGCTGAGGAACATTCCAGTGCTTCAGTGACCAAAGAAGAAGAAGGTAGCCAGCTCGGTATTTCAGTTAGTATAATTCCTTTTTTTTTGTCTGCATTCTGGTTGTACAGCAATCGGCATTGGAAACTACCAGCCCTTTACATGTGACATTGTGCAACTCATGGTGTCACTCGGTGCCCACCCCCCACTGGTTAATGGCTGGTAGTTGCCAAAGCTGATTGCTGGCAAACCAGAGCGCAGAGAGAAGTAAAATATGGTGCTATGCATTTATCAAGGTAGAATATTGCTGTTGTGAACACTTGTATCTTAAGAAGTGCATAGCACCATGTTTGACTCTTGATATTCTAAGGTGAACTTTCATTGTAGCTTTGAATTTGATTGGTGGCTTTGAAAAAGTAACTTCACTGAACTTAGTTCTGACAGATTGATACAAATGTGCATTGCTCTTCGCTGGCTTTATGAATGAGGGGGAAAAAAAGCAAGTAGGAGATGAATCACATGACCTGCTAGTCATGTAACCAGCTCTCCTCCATTCATGGAGTTATCTATGCTGCCTAAGGGCCCGTTCACACCAGATGCAGTGCATTCCGGCCGGATTCTAGCCAGCACGACCTGCCCGGCTCACTTTTTTGGGGGGGCAGGAGGGGCCATTGAAGTGAATGGCACCGTAGCCACACACCCTGGCAGCAATGCGATCGGGCGCACGGGATCGCGCACGGGATCGCAAGGCATTATGCCTGCGGTCCGGTGCTATCAAAATAGCAGATTGCAGCATAATGTGCCTTGCGATCCCGTGCGGCCAACCGCATTGCGGCCGGAGGGCGTGGCTTGTGTGCCCATACACCTTGCAATTATCATTCGATTTTTCAAACGAAATCGGGTTTTTGTAGGATAATTGGCCAGTTGATGGTAGAATTTTGTCTATCGGGCAGGCTAGAAAACTTTGTTCAGATCGTACGAAAATCGATGGATTAGTGGCATTCTCTACAAAAGACAATTGCAACATGAACACTGCACATGCGCAAATGAAAATCCGTTCCGTCGATCGCCGAAATTCGGTCAGTTTAGTACTGCTAATGAATGATAATTGAAATCCACATTGGTCTGTGCATGATGGGGCAGTCGTGCAGAAATCGAACGAAAGTATGGGCACCTTTACACGGCATCAGCAGTATAATGAAGAGCAGATAGCGGTGTCCACTCTGTTATAAATGAGCCTCTCGGTGCATGAAAACATACAGGTGAAACTCGAATAATGACAATATCGTGCAAAAGTTCATTTATTTCACTAATGCAACTTGAAAGGTGAAACTAATATATGAGATAGACTCATTACATGCAAAGCAAGATAGTTCAAGCCGTGATTTGTCATAATTGTGATGAGTATGGCTTACATAGTTACATAGTATTTGAGGTTGAATAAAGACATTAGTCCATCAAGTCCAACCTATTAGGATCTCATTCTAGGAGTACCTGTACCCCTGTATATTACGGTCCCTTAAGAAATCGTCCAAAAGTTTCTTGAACAATTCCACATTATTTGCTGAAATCACCGCCTGTGGCAGTGAGTTCCAGACCCTAACTGATCTTACTGTGAAGAACCCCCTTCGCCCCTTGTGCTGGAATTTTTTTTCCACCAATTTTAGGTGGTGGCCTCTAGTTTTTGTAATGGAGTTAATTTTAAACAGTTTATCGCTAATGTTGCTGCCACCATTGAACATTTTGTACATGGAGATTATCATATCCCCTCTTTATCTCCTCGCGTCCAATGTGAACATGTTTAAATTTATTAGCCTTGTCTCGTAGCTCTGGTCCTCCATCCCCTTAATTAGTTTGGTTGCCCTCCGCTGGACTTTTTCCAGCTCAAGGACATCTTTTCTTAGTACTGGTGACCAGAACTGGACCGCGTACTCCAGATGAGGTCGAACCAATGATCTATAAAGTGGCAAAATTATAGACTTGTCCCTGCAATACATCCCCTTTTTAATACAGGACAAGACCCTGCTAGCTTTGTTTACAGCAGCCTGGCACTGCAAACTACCTTTCAGTTTGTGGTCTACAATGACCCCCAAATCCTTCTCCATTTCTGACTTCCC